CTCCGAACAGCCTCATCTGTTGTACAGTACAATGTATCATGATGAGGCAACACAAATTATAAACATGAATATGAGCAAAAGCAACAAGTCTTAAGTATGTAATTCTCGAAATATATGCGTCTGTATGTAATTACTCTCAAGTTGTAGTACCTTCTTCCTTTCGTTTTAATTTTCTCTCCGTTAACTGTTGGGAGGGAGGGGGAAAAAAGGAGGTTAGTGACAAGAAAGCAACAAAAGCAATGTAGGTAGTTGCTCCAAATCAGAGACGAATATGAGAAGTCATAGCTCAATCTAAGAGTTTGTAGCTAAGGAAACACCGTAACGGTAGTTTGTAGGTAAAACTGGATAATCTCCATATCAAGGGCTAAACCAGGATAATAATATTCTAGCATGAATAGACAATACAGCTGCAGTTTCAATGCATACATCTTTGCATGATATCAATAAATCATTTAAGGATGCAACTTTTAAACAACTAGAACTAGCTCGAAGCAGGAAGACAATCCAAGCAGTTTTTATACCGAAAACTAGAAGTAGGAAATGAAAATCAGTTCTGAACTAAATATGTACTTTTAGTGTAGCTGTTGTATCCCGTTCCCTTATATTCTGATCCAATTGCTACCTCTCTTTGATCACGCAATCTTTCTTCTTCTGACTGCATACCATTTTAAATATTAGGAAAAACGTATAACAGAAAATGAATGCGAACATGTTCCTCAATGTATATATGAGACAGCAAAAGATGCGTATATAATTCTAATGAACATAATTAATAAAAATCAATAACGTGATGAAGTTTCTGTATATTTCTTCAATATCAACGTTTGTACAGGATGTATACATATATGGGTGATACAAGGAACTATTCTAGGAAGCTATTCTAGGCTATTAAGTAATTGAGGCTATGATTGAGGTTGACCCACAATATGCGAAGTCCAATACAAATAAGGAAAATGTAATCCCTACAATCAAGTCATTTTATTCTCAACAACTTGTTAATGGTAATTCCCTCGAATTAGCTCTGTTGAGCTATAATTAAAGACAGAAGTACTTTCTACTAGCTTCAACTAGTAATTCCTGCCAACAGTAACTTGTAACTTGTAATTCTAGCCACATATTGTAGCTTCAACTAGAACTTTCTAATAGCTTCAATTAAGTTGGTGACTAGTGTTAGCTTGTAAAAATTATCCTAGAAAATTCTGCCTAGCTTGTAAAAATCTCCACCAAATGTGCATTATTTTTCAACACTGGGGCCATCCATAATTATTTTTCAACACTGCAACAAACCCTTTGGCTCTATAGATAGATAGAAAGATTTCTTCTTTTTATACTTTCATCTATATGAGACTTGGTTTCTGATTTTCTCCATGCATAAATTTTGCATTCAGAACAAGATGGAACACTCACAAACTCATTCTAGCCTGATTTTGTTCAGATTTTTCCTTTTTTTATGGTGGACCACATGTCTGCAATCTGCAACACTATCCACTTCTGGAAATGAATCTGATCGCCTGGCATTGCTAGACTTCAAGAAAAGAATAACTCAAGATCCTCTCCGTATCATGAGCTCATGGAA